GAGGACACAGGGACAAGTTTGTTATTTTTCATAATTGTTGTGGGGTGGTTTCCTACTTGAAAGAGATTTTTTTACTGTCTTGAGACACAGCGTGTTAGGTATTTTTAGTCAGATAGATATTGGTCAGGTACTTGTTCTATTAGAAATGTTTAGTGGAGTCAGGATGTCTAGTTAGGCTGTTAAATGCTTAGTCATTCTCATGAGTTTCTTGCAGGGTGCATATGGTCAAGGATAACTAGATAGAAAAGTTTGACTGTCAGCAGACAGGATGTTTAATATTATTATTATGATGTGTTTAACCGTAATCGTAATCATAATATTTTCTTATGTTTTGTTAGGTAATTTCTTAGTCAGATAGATATTGATTAGATACTTGTTGTATTAGCAATGTTTAGTGGAGCCAGGCTGTCTGGCTTAGGCAGTTAAATGCTTAGTCATTCTTATGAGCTTTTTGCAGGCTGTATATGGGCCAAGGTCAACTAAATAGAGACGAGTCTGCAGGCAGGAGGTTATTGTTATTATTATGATATGTGTAACCGTAATCTTAATCATAATATTTTCCGAGGCTTAATGTCCGGACATGTCCCTGAATGTCCTGTATGTTTTTAGATGCACACCACATAATCAACACTCACACACACATTGATTCTCTCCATGTTTTGACTACTGCTACGGCCAGCTGTGAAGCTGGCATATCAGGTGACGTCACGGTTGATGTGCCTGTGTAGCATGGGCTAGCCCAACCAAGGGATAAGATTGTTTAGGCATTAATGGTTTTTTCATGCTCCGTCTGCCTGCGCGCAGTATTGGAGGTGGAAGATGCCTGGACATGTAATGTTAATTTTACCCGTGATTCTTTGAATAAACCAGCACGGTTATTTTTTATATATCCAAGTGGTCCGCTTCGTCTCTCTGAGTTCCTGGTTAAAAGAACTGGGTAATATCTTTCAGTTTAATGTCATGACATGTCACTAGATGTCATGTCAGAATGTTTTTAGATACACACCACTTAATCAACAGACACACACACATTGATTTTATTCATGTTTTGACTCCTGCTATGGTCAGCTGCAAAGCTGGCACCAGAGACGTCACGGTTTCTGTGTAGAATGGGGCTAGCCCAACCAAAGAGATAAATGTATAGGCCTGGTGTGGTTCAGGGTCTTTCATCCTTCAGCTGCCTGCGTGCATGTTGGGGGGTGCAAGATACCTGAGCGTGTAATGTTAATTCTTACCTGTGTTCACTGAATAAATCAGCACTGTTCTGAAGTTACTTGGGCTGCCTCGTTTCTTAGAGTTAGCATGGCTAAGAAGAACCGGACTTCACACGTTAAACTAAACCATCAGAATTACACACTGTTACACAAAAGCTACAGTATCAAAGCCTTAAAATTCAACCACAGATCACTATATTTTGACTGCAACACGACTAAACATTGATTATCATTGATTAGACATTGATCAAACATTAATTATCAATCAAATCTTTACTTTATGCATGAAACCATTTTTTAAAAAACTTTTCTTAATAAACTGTCTCCTTTCTCTATCACACACACACCTGTACTTCCTCTTTTGTATGGATATGTGTTTTACTTCCCTTTTCTTCATGATTCAGCATTTTCACTTATGATTTAGATTCTGAATGTACTTTAGACTTCTAAATGTACCTTTTTCAATACAATCCTTTCTCATTTTATCCTTCAAATTCATTCAATTTGCACAAACTGATTTCTGATTGTGGTGTCAGGTTTGCTCCCTGATGGAAACACTTCATTCTTAAACTGATGGACTGAAACATAAACATGAAACTGAAGTTGTGTGTCAAACACCATTTAGTGAGCTCTCCTCTGTTACATAGTATGGTATGGATTAAAAAACTAAGAACAAGAAACAAGAGGCAGAAGAGGGGGTGTGAGGGTCTGTGAGAACAAACCTGGTGAGATCAGCCTGCTGTTGGAGTTGCTCTTGCACTTGGCGGCAAACTTCGCCGGCAGTGTCGTAGACTTTACCGACCTTGGTGAAGAGGGCAGCAATCTTGTCACTGCGGAGAAAACCAGCTGCCCGTCTCTTCAGGAGATGGCTCAGGCAGGCCTCAATGGCAGCTGCAGAGAGAGGAGGATAAGTGCTGGGAGTGTTAATATTGTTAATATTATATCCAACATAAGGTATGACAGATTATTAGCAAACTGAAAAGATGAAGGACAATAAAAATAGTCTGTAACACTCACTGTGCTCATCAGTATAGAAATGTGTTTAGTTTCCCAGTAAGAAGAAGTGTTAAACAGTCTAAAGCCCTGTAATGGCACTGAGAGACTGATAACAACATCATATTGATGACTATCCTGCTCTTAGAGTGTCAGTCTTACTGAAGCGTAAAATATCAATTTCCTTAAAGGTGGCACAAGGGGAAAGGCCACAGGGTCACAGATACAAATAGGGTTTATGCATTAAGGTAGGGAATTCCATGATGATGCCCCATCCTATTCTTATTGATATATTGTATTGTTATGATGGTCCTTGAGTAATGACTGTGCATGGAAAAAGGTCTTTTCAGGGCAGTGTCTGTTGTGTGATCCTGTGTCGCCACAGAACCAAAGCTCCCCCACAGCCCATAGCTGTTCCAGGGAGCTTAGTTTATCTTCTTTGGAGGGGAATACACAGTCATTAAAAATTCTTTTGACAGAGGAGTAAAAATTAAGATGGAACTTAAGACTCTTTCTGTTGATATGAATTATTGAGCATGTAACCTGTGTGAAAGTACAGTTTGTTTCTGTTTACCAATTCACTTTATCTTTCCTCACTCCACTTTCATTTAAGATGGTATCTTCCAGCCTCTGACTGGCTGAACACACCTGAGCCAGGTAATCAGCAGCAGGTCAGGCAGGGATAGTTAGAAAACAAGCAGGACAGCAGCCCTTGAGGACTGGAATTGGCCACCCCTGTCTTAGATGCTATACAGTTACCAAAAAGGTGGCCATTTGCAAGTGTGCAGCACACACTAAAGGGACAGATCCCATATCACTAGGAAATAAAAAAGCTGATGAAGAAGCTAAGAAAGCTTCACAAATGAAAATTTTGAGGGTAGACAACCCATCTCAAATAGACCAAACTGTTTTAAAAGATATGCAAAAAGCTGCCTCACAAACTGAAATTCAGAAATGGAAGAAAAAGGGAGCAACCTTTAATGAAAAAACAGAACTACACGAATGACCAGAAGGGAAACCTATCCTACCAAATATTTCTACTTTTAAGATATGCTGCAATTTTGGACAAAGTCATGAGGGATGACATCCATGATAGGCAAAGCGTTCACAACACATGGATTTTCAAACTACTCTAAAAATGTTCGTGCTACTTGTACAATATGTGCTCACCACAATGCAAGAGGAAACCTGAGAGCTAAAAGAGGTCAATTTCCAAGACCACAATTTCCATTCCAACACATTTGCATGGACTTTATAGAGTTAAAAAAGTGTGAGGAAAAGAAATTCGGCCTGGTGTTAGGTATTTTTAGTCGGATAGATATTGGATAGATACTTTATGTATTAGAAATGTCTAGTGGAGATAGGATGTCTAGTTAGACTGTTAAATGCTTAGGCATGCTTATGAGTTTCTATAGGGTACATCTGGTCAAGGATAACTAGAGAGAAAAGTTGATGACTGTCAGCAGACAGGGTGTTTAATATTATTATTATGACGTGTATAACTGTAGCTTTAGCCATAATATGTTCTTATGTTTAAGTCACGACATGTTACTAGAGGTCGTATGAGAATGTTTTTAGCTACACACCACTTAATCAACAGACACACACACACACATTGATTTGCTTCATGTTTTGACTATTGCTATGGCCAGCTGCAAAGCTGGTAAGAGAGATGTCTCGGTTGACGTTTCTGTGTAGTATGGGGCTAGCCCAACTGAAGGGATATAATGTATAGGCCTGGTGGGTTCAGGGTCTTTCATCTTACATCTGCCTGTGTGCAGTTTGGAGGTGCAAGATACCTGAGCGTGTAATGTTAATTTTACCTGTGATCCTTTGAATAAATCAGCACTGTTTTGAAGTTACTTGGACTGTCTCGTCTCTTAGAGTTAGCAATGGTAATAAGAACCAAAGACCCACACTGGTTATAACAGACATGTTTACTAAATGGGTTAAAATATTTCTCACAGCTGCTCCAGACACTCACACAGTTGCAAAGGCACTAGTGAAGGAAATAATCCCCAGATATGGAATACCTGAAAAAAATATATAGTGACAATGGAACTCACTTTGTAAACAGTGTAATATCATTGTTAGCTCAAACTCTGCACATAGACCTGAAGCATCAATGTGCATATCATCCACAATCTGCAGGGTTAGTGGAAAGACATAATGGCATTCTTAAAGCAAAACTAAGAAAAACTATAGAGGAAACTGGAAAGAACTGGGTTTATTGCCTGCCATTAGTACTCTTAAACATGCATGTAACCCCCACAGCAGGTGGGTTAACACCCTTTGAGTTAATGTATTGTTAGAAATGAATAAATCAGTCAGATAAGTATTAGACATTGTGTTAGAATTTAATGTGTTAGTAATGCAGTTTAGTAAGATTCAAAGTCTACTCTAGTCTGCTTTGCTTCAAGGTTAGAAGACAATGTTGATTCTGAAATGTGAGCTACATACACCAATTGTTTTCGTGTATTAAAACTTGTGTTAGAATTATGTTTGAATGAATGTCTGTGCAGATTCTCAGTCATCCAGGTCATAGTAAACTGAAAAAACCTAGAACAACTGGACTAGATTTCTAGGTCGAAGACGTTTCACCTCTCATCCAAGAGACTTCATCAGTTCTGACTGACTGGTGTTGAGCTGGAGATATTTATCCCCCTTGGTGGTGTTTCAGTCCTTTGAAGGCCAACAATGTCCCTTAACGACTGAGTCATTATAGCCCAGTATTGGTGAGAGTCGTTACCTGTCCTTGAATCCTCCCCTGTCGACCAACGCCTATTGTCCTGGTGGGCATGTTTGGGTAGAGAGCTCAAAACAGGATTGTAGATGGATGACAAGTTGTGTCTTAGTCCACCACCCCTATTTAGTGAGGGGTGTTCTATGGCTGGGAGTGGTACCAGTGAAGGAAGACAGGGCTTTCTCCTCAATTTCTTCCATGTACAGGTTGGCAACTATAGGAGACACAGGGGAGTCCATCGCACAGCCGTGTTGCTGCTTATAGAAGTGCCCCCTAAACTGGAAGTAGGTGGTGTTTAAACAGAGTTCCAGCAGAGTGCATACATGGTCTGTCTGTCAAATCTATAGGTGGGCCCAGAGGATCGTTCGACAGCAGAGTGTACATAGATGCAATTGGCGTAACCCGAGGAGTACCTGATGAGTTTAAAGCTAGAAATCAGATGGCTGCAGGGTTCAAATATTTTCTTTCCTGGTAGGTCATGGTAAATAAAAATGTGGACTGGATTAATTACTTGTAGTATAATCAACGTTTTGTGAATCATACCAGAAATGTAATAAGAGGCTTAGCAGAACAACTAGGCCCAACCTCTCTCATGTCATGGCAAAATAGGATGGCCCTGGATATGTTGTTAGCCGAGTGAGGGGGAGTATGTAAGATGTTTGGCACATTTTGTTATACTTTTATACCTAATGTTAGGTTATTTTTTAGTTAGATAGATATTCAGAGATTTGTTGTCTAGGAATGTTTAGTGTAGCCAGGATGTCTCCTCAGGCTGTTAAATGCAAGGTTGGTTAAGGCAGAAAGGCTGAAGTCAGGGACAAATGTTATTATGACGGTAAAAGTAACCATAATATTTGTCTTAATGTGTAATGTTATGTCAAATTGTTTTAGATACACACCACGAAAACAACAGCCACACACATTATTTTCTTCATGTTTTGTCTACTGCTCTGCTCAGCTGCCAAGCTGGCATATCAGGTGACGTCACGGTTCGACAGCCCAGAAATGATTAATATTGTATAGCAATGCTTGGTTCGGGGTCTTCCTGTTTCCGGGCTGCTTTTGGCAGGCTGGGGGTTGGAAGATCTCTGGACTACGGTTATATTTTTTATGTACTCAAGTGGTCTGAGTCGTCCCTCGGAGTTCCTGGTTTGAAAGAACCGGACGAGGCTTTATGATGGAATAGAGCCTTTACTAACAACACTTTCCCAGATGGCAGCATCACCAAGGCCCTTGAAGGACTGACAGCCCTATCCGAGGAACTGACTGAGAACTCTGGGATCAACAACCCCTTCACCGACCTCCTGAAATCCTAGTTTGGGAAACTGATCGCTTCTGGGTTGATTTCTCTGTCCGTGACTGCAGCCCTGCTGGTCGTGTGTGGCTGTTGTGGCATCCCCTGTCTGCGAGGACTGATGTACAGACCGATAGACACTGCTCAGACTAGGACCATGTACCAACAAGTCCGCAACGAGGACAGGGAGGAGGAAGACTATGAGGAACAGGATGACTGGGTTTGAAAAGAGACTTTCCTGATTCTAATCTGAGTGAGCCATGTATGAGATCCTGGGATGAATGAGATTAAGAATTATGTTGTAATTAATGTGTTTCTAAAAGTTTAAACAGGAGGGAAATGTCATAAGAATTACATTATTATACATGATTTCTGCTTTGTTTTAATCACTGTATGCTATTTAATGTTTTTTAAACTTTCAGAACAGAGACCTGTGAGAAACTGCTTGTGTGAACTGAAGGGCATGTTTTAATCTTTGTTTTGGTATTCTGTGTGTTGTGATATATTCAACACATGGTGTTCCAGACTTAAAGGAGCCAGCCATAAACTTTGAAGATAGACAGGCGCGACAGCTTATTTAGTGTCTAAGGGGTTATCAGGGCAACCCCCTTCAACTTCTGTTTTGCTACTTAAATCTACTTTACAACTTGAGTTGCATCTTTAGGGAGTTCCCTTTCTCCTATATATTGTGATGTTTAGACTTAGCTCATTCAGACAACTCTGTATGCTCATGCTGACTTGTCTCCTTGCTGCAAGTAAAGATTACTGCTATTACCATTTCAGTGACTTCGTTGCTCTGTTTGGAAATTCTTTTGACAGCCTGATATCACAACACTCACACACCTGGTTTCTAGCACATTC